AGCAACTAAGATGAAGTAATTATTGAGCTTTGCATGTCAGTGAAGTAACAAACAAGTGAAAATACGATAAGGATATTTTTTATTTTCTGTGTTTTTGACCATCGTCTCACTGTGTCTTGGCATCGACGGCAGAAAGCATAAAGCAGAAAGCAATAAAGCAATGGTAGTATAATAAGCGGTCATTATGCATACTTATGCGTCAAATGCAACAATGATTGTGTTTGATCATTTGTTTATGAGCAGAGTTGGAACAATTAATTCAAGATCACAACGTATGCGCCAAGGAAAATTTAAATTATTTGTATTTTATAAAATATCTCGCCTTAGAGAACTTTTATGCAATGGCCACTTTGTTTCTAAATACATAATTATTGATGTAAATTGTTCAGTAAATATTTTTTTTCCTTTCATTTTTATAAAAATAAATAATTTACTAAGATCAAAAACTAAATTATATATCTTAAATTTATATTATATATTTTTAAGAATTGATATTAAATAATTTACGACAGAATTTGTATGCAGTTATTTCTTAATTATTTGCGTCATTTTAATAGATATTAAGATTAAAAGTGTTAATTTTTTTTAAAATAGGCAATAAAAATTTAAAAAAATTAAAGAAATTAAGACTACAGATTTATAAACTAAAAACTCTGTTAAAATCTTATTTGAATTTTAATTTAATGCCAAATATAAAAAAATAACAAATATTTTATTTTCTTTTATATATAAAAAACTGCACAAATATAATAGCTGTCTTTATGTTAATTTTACTAAGGACCATAAAATATTGCATAAAGTAGTGTTTTTTGGCCCACTAACTTAATGAATCGTGCCTTCGAAGAGAAGGAAGAGATTTATGTTTAGAGTGAACTATTTGTGTCTGGAAGCTAAATTTGGGGACCATACTTGTATAGTCATGTCGGTTTGTTTGGTTTATATCTACAACCTCAAATATCAGCGTTATTGGAATTATGAACGACAGTGAAGTGTGTTAAAAGCTTATACGAAGACATTAAATTCTCTTTCGTTGTATTGAATACAAATCTAAAAAATTATTTACTCACCATCTAAATTTCAATCAAATTTTTTAAAAAAAATTTATGTAAAACTGTTAATTGTTAAATGATCGGTCGTCTTAATGTGTATACACGTGCATACATATATTATGGTAAGGTCTTAAATGTGTTTTTTCCTATAAAAATGTATTTTGCATATAGAAGACTCAAATTTGTTCAACTAGAGAAGATTGATTTCTTCAAAACATTTTTACGAACTTGACATAAATAAAGTCCTTTTAGTTAACCATTTAAAATAACATGTTTATAACTGTATAATGATTCTACTTTCAAAGCAAACTTCTGACGCTAACAGAGTTTATAAGCTGCTTGAGTCAATTGTGGATTTACTTAAGGGCGAATTGACCTTTCGTTAATTACAAAGTTTCCTTGTTTTTCTTCATGACAGTATTTACTTACGTTTAGTAGATAATGCAATTTTCATTGGTAAAATAACTTTGAACTAGACAACATCGAATTGACAGTCCATTTACATTTTTTTATGAACAACATGAAAGTATTAAGATGCTATGCACATTGTCTCTCGGTTTGCAATTTTTTTACTGGGCCATCTCTTTCTTCAACCGTTTACAAAACCTTCCTATAGGGTTGTTTGATTCATGTTTTCAAAAACTAAAAATATATATATAAAAAACTTGTTTAAAATATTTATTTTTCAGTTTAAGTTTTAAAAATTGCTTTCAAAAGTATTTTAAAATAAAAAAATAGAAATAGCTAATACATGTTTTCAAAAGCTCTGTTCTGTTTTTTATTGTTTGTACAAATACATGTTTTTAATTACAGTGTTTTATTAACGGTGTTTTTTGTAATAAAATCATTTAAAATATATATAAAAGAAAGCAACTTAACATGTGCTAAAAATATCATCAAAATAGAACTCGATGCAAGTAGCTTTTCTTTTCTTTTAAGGAGCAAACTTTTGAAATATTTTTTAAAAAATTAAAAGCCCAAATTCTGTACACCGCCAGTTTTCTTTTTCCAAACAAATACATTAAGACTGAAATTTTAAAGCAAAAGACTATTTTTACTCTTATATTTTGTAAATCTCATAAATAATTATGATTACTGTAAAGTACATGTATTTGTTTTTCTCTTTTATTATACTCATATAGTAACTGCAGAAACAAAATACTATTCAAACATGAAAGATAAAACAAAACTTAAGGATTGTTTGTTTTATATATAGAAAACTGATTAATTTATTTTTTAATAAAAATGTAATTTAAATTAATTTATGAACAAATTTTAATTCTTGTATTATTTTTACTTTATTTTAAAATCATCAGACTTTAAATTAAATAAATTTTTTTTCCTAAATAATGTTGCATACAAAAGAAAACGACATTGTTATAGTAATCCATATCTTTTATGCCAAATTGGTATTAATAATGTGTTTGGATTGAAGTTTTTATATCATAGACGTGCACTTGACGCTATTCACCTGCATCTGGATTCCCGCCCGATAGGCTTGAAAGTCACGTCCAATGAAAGAGCTTAGTTTGATTGTGTTAAAGCGAACACAATTAGTTTAAAAATATATATTTTAATCTGTATTTTTTTATTACAAAACTGTTAATAATGAAAGAAAACAAATTTGTAATAAAATACTTATATAATTAGTAAAATTTATTTTAAATACAATAATTAATTAGAAATAAGTGTTAAATAATATATATATATATATACACACACAAAATTCTAATTTTTAAAATATACAAAATAATAAATTTATTTTAAAAAAATACATATATTCTAACTTAATATTATTTTCAAAATAGAATTGTAAACAAATAAAGAATATAACTTTATTTTACAGTTGTAACTTTTATTTTTTCTTCATAAAAAGAAATAAATAAAATATTATTATTAATATTCTTATTATAATATTTAATACATGATCATTACAATTTGTATATAACATACTTAGTTATGTGATATATCATTCATATATAATATTTTTTTAAAAAAAAATTGATATCAAAATATTTAATATCTTTAAAATATGAAATTACATTATTATTTAAAATATTAGAGAATTAATAAATTTTTAATTTTTATTACAATATAAATTCTTATTACAACTTGACTTAAAATTTTATTAATTAAATATTTCTATAAAATAAATCTAAGCGCATTTAATATTTTTAATTATAATAAAAAAGTCTTTATCATATGTAATTGTTTTTAATATTTTACAAAGTATAATAATTATCATTTTAATTAATTTATTTATTCATTAAATTAATTAGAGTTTATTTATCATTATAAATATTTTTAAATAATAAATAATAATAATTAATTTAAATATAATAAAATTTAGACTTTTAATATCTTTTAACTTGTACTTCAATTTTCCCTAAATAAATTTACTATTTTTTAGTTCATATTAAAATACACATTTAGTCATTATATCTAGCATTTGTTTATAAATTAATATTTATATTTAAAAAAAATACATTTTTATTTCTGTGTAAATATTTTATTATTTTTTAGTTTGTACTATTATGTAATAAAATAATTATATAAAAAGTTAAAACATAAATCTTTTAAGATAATGTTTAATTCATGAATAAACGTTAATTACAGAAATTGAATGCATACTTTCACATTTTATAATAAAAAATTAATTGTCCGTTGGTAATAAAAATATACATTCTAATATAAACACTTGATTTATATAAATTTATGTATGTGTCTTTATTATATTTAATAGTTTAAAAATAACTTTACCAAAATAATGGTATACAGACAAAAAAGCGATCTTGTTATAACATGAACCCACCTCTTTGAATATCGCTCATCAACGTTAAGACACAAAGGTAATTAGATTTGCAATTTGTAACTTGAAGCCTGTTTTTGACAAAATTTTTGAAATTTTAGGACCATGTTGATGTGTGAAATTACTCGTACACGTAGTTGCTCAGTTGCTATATACAGTTAACGCACAATCATGAATCATCATAGAAATTTTAAAAAATTAATTAAGCTCCAAATTTGAATCATATCCACATCACATACAGTGATGGCATCACGTATCAACACTCGTCTGATTCATTTTTCAAGCAAACTAAAAAAAAGCCCATTTTCATCTCATTTTATTTTGAATATTTGTCCACAAACATTACAGGAACGACCCCACCGTCTTTCAAAATTGCATAAAACCTGCATCACAAGGTCAGCATCAACGGCAGATCTAGTCACTGCTAAAAAAACATTATTTAGGAATGATTTAAAACAAGAGTCAGAAGCTTAAGAATTTAAATTTTAAAGTGAATGTTGCCAAAGTCCAAAATTTACCTAAAGAGTGTAGGGACAAAAAAAGAGGGAGTCGAGTGGAATTAGGTATGTGAATAATAATTCCGTAAAGTCCAAAAATTTGAAAAGATAACAAACCTTCGAAGAAGTGTATGTTTAATTAATTTTTAAAATCACTTTAGTAAATATAAATATATTTGATAAATTTTAATCAAAATTTATTTTCACTATAAAATTCACATTTTAATAAATATTAATTATTACATCATATTTTATTACAAATGATTTTAATAAAAATTAAGCATAAATGACCTTGATTTAAACTTAATTTTTAAATTCATTCAAATTCAAACTCAAATGAAGAAAAACACTAATTGAAACACAGAAGCACAAGCCTAGGCAACTGGGAATGATATGTAAAAATGTCTGTCTGGCGCTTAATTAATTTAAAGAAATGATGAGTTTAGCGATGGAGTAGACAAATGGCAGGTGAGTTGCATGCAAGGACAAATGTCTCCAACCACTGGGCCACTGTTCCAGTTGTTTACAAATTCCCCATCTCTCTCTCTCTCTCTTTCATTTTCATACCAATATTTTGATTTTGAACTGTCTCAAAGGGACCCTGAAACCTTAATAAAAGCAACTTGTCTTCAACATTCTATCCTCCAACTCACTTCTACTACACCACCACCCTCTCTTTCTCTTTTTACTCTCTCTCTCTCTCTCTGTGCTGGGTCCCTACGCCCTGCACACACAGCTGGGTCATTATTAAATCTTCCTCAACCAGCAACTTCGACTTCCTCCTCTTCTTCACCACTCGAGTAACGCCTTCATATCCATAACCCGCTTTCTTTTTTTCTCCTTCATAGTACTTGCTCTGTACTCGCCATGGCTGAGGATGCTGAGTACGACAAAGAGAACAAGGAGAATGGTGTCAACGCTGAGTTCGACGCTGCGTTTGTCTTCCCTAATGAGTTCCCCTACGAGTTTGACTCGTTCGGGACTGAACCCGTTGAGTCCGGTTCTACCGGAACTGAAAGCAGCGACGAGGAAGACTTCTTTGCCGGGTTAACTCGCCGTCTGAGCCATGCCGCGCTCAACGAAACTCGGAAGCAACTTACTGTACCCATCTGCAACAGTGACAAAACTGAGGTAATGAGCTAGTTACTCTGTTCAAACTCTTTGTTGTTTTCTTGCTCCTTTGTCGATGAAGCTAAGGTTGTTTGTTTTCGCAGACCCAGAAGAAAACTCGGGGTTTGGCCGTGTCTCCCCAGTCCACACTCAGTGGCTGGTCATGTCGGAGCGTCGGGTCCGGCGACGGAAGTCCAAACGGGTCTTCTCGCGTTCCCTCGCCGACGACCACGCCGTTTAACGCTACGAACGAAGCGTGGGATGTGTTGTACGCAGCTGCGGGGCAAGTCGCAAGGATGAAGATGAACGGCGAGGCTTCGTCCAAGTTCGAATTTAATAACAGGGGACTATTGGGTGGTCTTCCTCCACCCATTGCGGTTGAAAATGCGTTATTCTCGAACCAGGGTCTTTCTCAGGTGAGTCTTCAATGAGTGCCTTTAAACTGCTTGTGAAAATGCGTGGCTGAACTTGCATGTGAAAGTGGTTCTTTGTGTGTCTTTATTCAAGGTTCGGTATCAACATGTGAGACAACAAGAGCAGGTGCTGAGGCAGCAGTGTGGTTCTGTTTGGGGGAGGCAAGTCAAGGGTAACTGCTCAACTCAGCAGCATCAACCACCTCAGCCTCAGAACAGAGTGCGCGACTTTGGGTATGATTATGAGGGTGTGAAATGCACGCGTCCTGTGCCTCATTCTGCATGGCACCCTCTCCAAGTTAAGCACCAAAATCAACAGGTTCCGCATTTCGGATCCGGGTCTCGACCCGGATTGCTAGCTGGATCTGGTGTTAAAAGGGGTTGCGCTGGAACCGGTGTTTTCTTGCCTCGCCAATATGGGGCCCCTCCTCCGGAATCTCGCAAGAAAACAAGTAAACCCACGAGACCTGTTTTTTCTCCGTAGTTGAAGAGATTGTTTCTGTTTTTGTTGGTTAGTTGATTGTGTTTTGTGTCTGTTTCGTTACAGGCTGTGCTGCACCTGTTTTGGTTCCAGCCAAGGTTATTCATGCTCTGAACTTGAACATTGATGACATTAATGCTGCTACTACCCAACCACGCTTCTCGAGTGGTTTTGGCTTGAACTATGGTGAGTGTGAGGGGGTATTTAATTAAACCACATTTTCGTAAGAAGTTCGTTTCAGTTCTTCATAGGAATTTGACTTGTTTTGCCTCTTATTTTGCTGTAGATGCGTTGTTAGCCAGAAGGAATTCACTTCTGCTGCAGCAGAAGTTATGCATGCGACTAGAAGAGGCAGCAAACTATGAAATTCGCTTGCCTCAGGAATGGACGTACTAACTCCTTTGATAATAGTTCAAACAAGATTCAATTGCTTCAAGTTAAACCTCACTGGAGAAAGAAAGTAGTAAAATTAGTAGGCTTGTGATAGGGAAGTTGGTTTTTTAGTTTTAAATTATAAGGATGAAATTCAAGAATGTGTTTGGCTAGTTTAGTGGCAATAAATCATCTGGTTTTTGTGAGAGATGCAGCCTTTTTTGTGATCTGTTGTTAGTTGAAGAAACAGTGAAAGATAGCAGTTTAGGGGAAGTTATGAATTATATATATTTGTTATTTGTAATAAGGTAAGGTGGTCGTTTTCTTCCATGTTAAATTAATGCTAGTGGAAGAAAGTTAAAGGGCTTATTGTTGGCGATTGAAGAGGGTTCCAGTCAAGCCAGCAAAAAGTGTTGGAAGATTGCCCATAACCCTTAGTAAAAGCTCTTGCTCGCTATAGAATAGTATGTAATAAGTTATACTATATGTAGTAAAGACAACTTGTGTAATCCCTCAGGGTCCATCTTATTTCTACTGTTCTCTAATTGAAAGATTGATTGCATATTAAGCGAATCTATGATTTTCTTGCTATCCAAGTAAGGGAAATCTCAATTATCATTCGTTGACACGCTCGGTAGTGGCTTGTTGAGATTGAAATAATTTTTATTTATTTTTAATTTAAGTTGGCATAATAAAGAAAACTATTGTTTTGTGAACTGAATTAATAGTTATTAATGATTCATATTGGGATATTGAAGAGAGGAAATGATATTTTCACTTTAACGAAAAAAGTCAGTGTAATGAGTGGGATAAGGCACAAGGTAAGAAAGGTGTTGCTTGGTTGGGGAAGATGGGGGTGTGGAAATAGGGGGAAGTGTACGTTTGATGGGTCCCTCTCTGAATCCAGTGTTTGGGGCCCACTCGTCTGGGTTACTGGCCCATCCAACTGTATTCCCGCTCTTTTTTTTTAATCAAAGAAGCAACCCCAGAGTTGTCATTTTGAAACTCGTGATTTGATTTCCACCACTTTTCCTCTGATTTTGACTTGGTCAAACTCATTAAATATTACTTTCTTTTTTTGTAGTTGTCTATATCTAAAAAAACTTATTATTTTTTTGTTCTTTTGAAACTTGATATAATACTCTAGTGTTATTTGTTGTTTTTCATTAAACTTTTATTTTTATTTGTTTTAGATGCTTACACAGTAATGGTAAATAATAAACGCAGTAAATAACAACGAAAAAACAGTATTTGTTAGTACATAAAATATATTAGACTATACTTTATTTTTATCACTGTTTTTCAATATTGTTTTCCAGTATGTGGTTGTCGCTTAATGGAATCTCCTAATCCGGCTTTGTACAGGAAATGGAATCTGGGTTTTCATTTTGAAATGAATTTATGTTTTATTATGACAGTGGTTCTATGTTACTACGCTCCATAGAAGTTGATCAAAATATTGCCCACACGATTTAGTAATAACCACAAGTTGTATTTCTATAAATAAACTCGGTTCTCAAGAGAAGAGGGATTAAGATCCTGTTAGAAGAATAAATTTTAATTTCACATAAATTTAAATTTATAAATAATTGATTTAAGAATGTAAATAAATTATCTGATAATTTGTAAAACACGCAAACCAGTAATTTTCATTGGCTAAGCTTATCGTATGAACCTTCATATTCTGATTTTTTTTTTTGTTTGTTTGAGTAGGATAAAAGTGACCTACGAATGTGTTCTATGAAAAAAGAGAAAAGACTCCTAGACAGTGGATTAGTAGCTTTGTATCAATTATGGACAGCACGTTAACATTTAGGTTAATAAATTATGTAGTTAACTGGTTGTTCTGCTTGCTTGTTTACGAATCTAGAGGAACCATCCATAAAATAATGATTTTCTCTATGGGTCTCTTTTGGTGCAGAAAGAGAAGACAAATCTATTCCATGATATTTTTCATATTATGTTTACATATATGTTTTTTAATTGCAACTGTCTTTCGAAATTACCGTACTAACTTGATTTTAAGGACCTATGTAACAAGGATAAAATGCTGTCAGAGATTTATGAGGTAGTTTGTCGGGGCTTTTAGTCCGATTCACGTTAAATTTGGCTTAATTTTACTAATTAAATAAGTTAAAGACTTTTTAAAAGTTTGTTAGTCGTTTAAGAAAAATAAATTCACGATTTTTAGGGTACGAATTTTCTTTAGTGTTAATAGATCAATATATTCTAATAAACAATAACATTATTTAATATTATTATTTTAGTAATAATTCGGAATTATTAATAATTTTTATACATTAATTTTTTTTTTGCTATTTTTATAGCATTATTATTACTGTAATAGTAGTATAGAAATTTTATTATATCATCTTAAAATTATAAAATTGTTAACCCAATGCAGTTTGAAAATGAACATATTTTGAGTTATTGTGTTGTCTTTTCAATAGTCATTGTTATATATAGTTTTTTAAAATATATTTTACGGTTTGGGCGTATCTGTTAAAAAGGACTAGGCAAGACATTAAACACACACCTATTTCATGCAAACAAGTTTAGGTCATATGTTTAAAAATTAGGTCACACGTATTTAAAGATAGTCTTCCCAACGCCATTTATCTCCATTAAGAATAATGCTATATTATATATATATATATAATCAAATGATATAAATAAAATAGTATTTCATTAATATAGTCTAAAAGTTTTACAAACACAGATAATAAGAATAAAAATTGTATTTCTGATATTTATTTTTTTATCTTAAGAAAATAATTAAAAATTTAATTAATTTATAATAATTATTAGATATAATTTCTATTTTATCCTTTAATAGGGATTTTCTTTTTTACTTTTAACGTACTCAACTAATATAATTTATTTATCGAAAATATTTTGAATTATTTAGTAACCCATCAATATTAGAGTGAATTTTTCTTGTTACATGAGAACTAGGCGGTTTTTTTTGTTTTGTTTTGTTTTTTGGTTTGTTACGTTTAATGATGTAAATGTAATTAAGATGAAGAAGGTGAATAAATTTGTCATTGTGATTTTATGGAACGTTAAAGTGGGTAACATTTGTTTACATTAATCCCAGTGGTTGATTGGTGGTGCGTGGTGGACTACAGCTATAAAGTTGTTGTCACAGAGAATACTAACATGGCAGATGAGTTGGTTGTTCGATTAGTGATGCTGAGTGTGCATGTGGGGGAAAACTTAAGGTGCACCTTCACTTATGCAGCTCAAACACATCAAATTAAAAATATCTCTGGGGGTAAGCTCGGAATATGACGAGGGCCCAAATTCATGCTTTTGCACTGCTCGGCTACAAAAACTGAATGTAGGTTTTATGGATATATTTGTGATTTTTTTAAAATTAAAACTAATTTTTTTATTTTAATGAAATATCCATATTTAATATAATTACAAATTATCTAAAATTTCACCGTTGTTGGTTATAATTAACCGTTTAGTCTCGTATTTAACATAGAATTAGCAGAGCTGTGTTTTCGGGATTGAAGGGAAATTTGATTACTCTCTATTTAGATGACATATGTGAATGATTTAATGGACTCGGCTAGCTAAGATTTGAGGGAAGTTCGGTTAATTCGTTTCTTTTGTTTGGTTACTCACTTCTTAATCAAACTCAAGAGGTGTTAGATTTGTCCCTATGGAGCAACAAAACAAAGCACCACACTCCTGTCACTATTAAAAGTCAATCATTGCTATTTAATCCTATTGTTTAAGTATTAATTAAATAATAATTTTGTTTGCTTACGATTGAGTTTAAAATTTTAAAATAATAACATGACACTAAGTGTTACACTTAAATACTGGTTAATATTTTTTAGACATGTATATTATATTTTATATAATTTAGACATTTATAAAAATATATCACTTGTTAAAGTAAAATAATACAAGGAAATATTATTTATTTTATTTTATTAAATTTATAAAATTGATCTATTTTGATACATAATATAATTTTTTTATTATTAATCTTAAATTTTTTTTTAACAAAATAAATAATTTATATACTTAGTGATAATTTTCAGGAAATTTATTTATTGTCCTATTTTTGTTGGTTTGCATGGGCATACGGGTTGAAGAAACTATTGATTTGGTTTTCACGGGGGTGAATAGCCCTCTATTGAAAGAGAGAAAGAAAATTGATAAAAGTTTTGTGCTTATTCATTCTCTATTATGGACTTGTCTCTGTTACCGAGATACCAAGCAAAGCCTGCAAAATAATTTAAAGTAACATGGAAGGAGAGATGGGCTGTGAACACGTGGAGGGTCACAAAGATGCTATTAGTTAACATCATGTGTAGTTTTTTTTGGGGGTCAAATCAAAGGGTTACGATTCCTTTACTTTTGTTTTGTTTTAATTTGTTTTTTCTTCCGGCTTTTGACGGAAGGGTTCTGCACTGCTTAATTTCTGGCCCATTTCTAGCCGTCAATCACGTTTCTCATGGCTCCATCTATTATCTCACGACCATTTTACATTTTCTTTTTAAAAGTAACAACACTTATTTAATAACATTCATCAAAATCTTACTAATATCTACAAACACTTTTAAGTTAGATGAAGTAATTGGTAAAATAAAAAATGTGCGAGTGGAAGATATTCCCAATGGTCACATGGTTGTAACCAAAATGGAGTAACAATTGGAGAGTTCATTGTAATTGAGTGTACCAAAGTTGATGAAACTAACTGCAGTGGCCGAATCAATCATCCACTAAGGCCCACACCCACTCACACTCTTCATCGATTCGCTTTGTTAATATCGTCTATCATGAATGCACCCTTGATCCTCATCGGTCATGGCGTGCACTTAGGTCAATCATTTGCAGCTAAAAATATATTAAAAATAAAGCATGTAATCACATTTCTGGCCTTTTTCAATTCTCACTTCTGAGTAATTTTTTGTTTATCTAGTTAAAGCCACCGGGTTTTATAGCTTTTGCCAATGATGTAGATTAATTTAGTCACGAAGGATAGTTTGTTAGCCATTTGTGATTATAATTATGATCCTGGGAAAGTGCTCAAGACGGACGCGTATTTATTTATGTTACTATTGTATACACTTGAACCATATTTTTGTTATGATATGCGAAACACAGTTTTATTTTTTTTATTTTTTTCATGCAGATTAGTAATCAGTAGCCATATTGGATTTTTAATCCTAACTGGATTGCATGTCTCTGTGTAGTAAAATTTAGATTAATTGAATTTTTTTTGGGTAAAAGATTTATTTTTAACGTAGCTCACATGTTGTTATTTTGTTATTGGACATGCAAGATAATGTTTTTGAAATTATACTAGTTATTGAATTGATGAAAGTATTAACTTCAAATTTTTTGGTCCAATCATGGTCTAATTGGTTGTAATTATATATATTATATTACATGCTATATACAATAATAAGTTAATATAAAATACAATAAATTAAGTGAGAAAAATTTAATGTACATATGTAAATCAATTTGAATCAAATAAGAGGCAGTGGTATCTCGCGATAGCACTGAGTTGAAGGTATGTGATTAAATCTCAAAAGTGTAACTAGCTTTTCACATTTTTATTCTCTCTTCGTCAAACATTTTATTTATAGGAGAATATTAATTAGAATATTGGCTAAAAAATTAATACTAATTAAGTTATGAAAAGGAAATATCAGTGCACGCTTGTTTTCTTTTTCTTTTTAAATGCATTAAGGTATAATTTTAATAAAAAAGCATGTGTGTGAAAAAGAAATAACTTATATGCTATCAAAAAGAAATGTCTAATTTAGTGGATTTGTATTTGTTCATGCTTTTGAAAGGCGTGAAGTTTGGTGTTAAAATCTCTCGAGTAAGTTTTTATATTTTGTAATTTCTTTTGAAAAAAATGTATAGAAATGCTCTGTTGAATATTTTGGAGTATACCTTTAGATGTGTGTCTGCTTCTTTGTGTTTGGCATGTATTTTTGAAATATATGCATATAACAAATAAAAGTAAGTAAAAAATTAAAATAATCGTATATAATATAATCATTTATGACACTTTTTTATTTATTTAAATAACTAAATTAGTTAAAATTTTGATAAGTCTTACTTTGGATTGATTACCAAGTTAGTTCTTGGTCTAACCAATTAAATTTATCCATTTAGCCTAACTTTGAAAATCATAATAAAGACTCAAGCTTACATGAATTATGTTAGATTTGGTGCATTAGTTTTAAAAGAGATAAGTTGACCCATCGTTAATTTATTATAATATTTTTTTTAATTTTATTTAGTCATTATGATTTTATTGTGACTATAAATATCAAATAAACATGAAGAGACCTTTTTTCACATCATATATGTATTATACTCTCTCATTTTATTGAAGATACAAGAGTTTTGCTATACATAAGCGGAAAGAGAGCAATTTCTCTTCTCATTCTAAATGCACCGTTAGTAATTGTACTTCTTTCGATCGAGTATAATAAAACAACACATATTTGAAACTATAAATAAAATATTGATAAATAAAATTTAAAATAATTAATTCAAGACAATATGAACTAGTGTCTTTCTTTTATATGTATTTTGACATCAACTAATGTTTTTATTAAAAGACTAACTATAGAATGAAGAGTAAAAAAAAAAAATTATATATATATATATATATATATATATATATATATATGTTATAAAATTTGTTAAATATCTACTTTTATCACAAGTTTTTGATAGAAGTTTATTTACTAATTTTGTATTTTAATACATTCGTTTAGAAAATCCTTTCTCAGAAATACTGACCTTATTCTGATGATGGAATGGTAAAGCTTGCAAGTATTGACGAGCACAATTGTAGATGCCAGTTGCAGATAAATTAACAACATTTGGGCCTTTTATTTAAGAAGAGAGAGAAGTTAATTTGCTGAAAGCGATATGTTAGGCCTAGCCCATCTGTTATTTTTGCTCAACCTGGCCCATCTTCTTTAAAAGTTAGTTGGGGCCCAAGTTGAAATATATCTCAATGTATATGTTTTTGGGGAGGGGGTGTTGGCTCAGCAAGCGCGCTTTACGTGTATGGAGCTTGAGCTTCTTTATTTTTTGTTTTTAAAAATATTTTTAAAAATTAAAAAAGTAAAACCTAAATTTTATTTTTATTTTATTTTTTTATTTTTTTAAAATTTAAAAATTAAAACAGAATTCTTCTGACGATTTCTTTTGCTAAATACTAAGATCTCACTGCTTGAGGCATTATAGTTGCTTTGTTCGTACACAATAGAAAGTTTAATGAAATACCCGAAGTATTCAACAAGTAAATGTAACATTTTTCAAAGAAAACGGGAGCCATCATTGCCACTTAACCTTGAATTGTCCATTTGCCTTATCCGATCTCATGTATCATGAACCAAAACTGAATTTGAATTTCAACAATTCCAAAGTTTTCATTTGCGATAGAATGACGGATTTGTAAGTACCCCATTATTTATAACGGATTTGCTTCTGCATCAAATTCACTCAAAAATTCTATCTTACTTTCACTTTCAAGGTAATTTTATTAATTTCGAAACATTCAACTTTCAGACACTTGGATTGGAACGTAATAACACCCTATCAGACATTTTACCTTGGTTCAATGAGAAGCTCCTTGATTATCAAATTACTCCCTCTTACTCTAAAGAACAGACATGTACGTTAAAGGATTATATATAAGCTTTAAGCATGGGGGACTTGATTTACCACATATTATTTTGAAGAGAAATGAAAAAAAAATGAAAAAAGTGACCTCATAGTGATTATTACTGAAAACAAAATTAAGACTTTTATAAAAGCTAAAGACTCATACACGATAAGTAACACGACATCATGACAATCACACTCTTACAACAGGGGAGTTCGCACATCTGAATCTCTCACACAACACTTGGAACTCAACTGCATGCATTTATTTCACTTTTATGATACCCGATTAAGAGAGAGCCTAGGCCGTGATCTGAACGGACTTCACATCGAGCTTCTTAACCTCTTCTTTGGGAACAGTGACGGTGAGCACTCCGTTCTCCATAGAAGCCTTAACCTGATCAACTTTAGCATTTTCCGGCAGGCGGAAGCGGCGGAGGAAACTGCCGCTGCTGCGCTCCACGCGGTGCCACTTCTCGTTCTTGTCCTCAATTTCCTTAGTCCTCTGGCCACTTATTTGTAGCACCTTTCCTTCCTCAATCTCCACCTTCACCTCCTCCTTCTTAAGCCCAGGAAGATCAGCTTTGAAAACGTGTGCCTCTGGGGTCTCCTTCCAGTCGATGCGCGTGTTGGCAATCGCCGATGTCTCGTTGGCAAAATCGGAGCGTGGAACGGAGAGGGAGAAGTCCTGGAATGGGTCCCACACGTCGAGGGAGAAGGGGTCGAAGACGTTGGTCCTTCGCCCAGTGCCGAAGAAGCTTGGAATCAGCGACATTTTTGTTGCTTTAGCTTGTGAATTATACTGAATGAGACTGAGAGTAGTGAGTTGTTGTTGTTGCTGAATGGTGAGAAAATAGTAACGGTGGTGGAATATTTATAGTGGAAGAGGAAGAGGATGTTTTGGTAAAAGGGTGAAGTGTTGACGATGGTTCAGGATGTTTCAGGGTTCTGCGGATTGTTGTAGAATCAGATGCCAGCGTGGACGCGCTCAAATGATAAAGAACTTTCCCGAGTAATGCAGATGTTGCTGTTTTTTTTTCCTTTTTAAAGTAAGATTGCCACGTAGGAACATTGGAGAATGGTGGAGACTTTGTGGCAGATCCAACTCGGAATTTTTAAAACCAAGCAAGCCCAATCATAAATTTGTTTATCAAAATAATATTTTTTTAAATTTATTTTTTGAATAAATTTTTTAACAGCATTAAAATTGATTGAGAAAAAAAATAATAAACTTAACACTCACATAAGTCATCATCAAATATATTTTTAATGTTATTTTTATTGGATTCGGAAATGAAAATCATTAAACTTTTATTAAAAGTATTTATAAAATACAGCATCGGCAGAGATAATTATTTTATTAAATGAGATCAATTATATACACCACTCAAACGATATCATTAAACTTAATTAAAAGTAAATTCATCAAAAATATGTTAGAAAATCTACAAACAAAAATTCAAAATAAAAGTTATAACTAACTGACAGTATTAAAAAAAAATATAAATATATCTAAGTGAAATGAAACAAACGAAATGATGTTGGATGCGTTGGCTCAGTGCACGTGTAGCAACGCATAGATCAATCCGACGTGGCTTCCCTTTGCATAAACACCGTATGGAACCAGGCATTAGCTATTGCAACACCTCACTATTTCATTTTCTTACTGAACGACACTGGAGTGTTTAAACAAGCATATAAGTATATTCACTTGTGTTTCACCCACTTTGACTTGTAGGTTATTAAGTCTATCTGCTTATTTAAAAATATATTAAAAATATTTACATATATAAACATGAAAAGACATAAATAAATAAACAATAATATATTTTAAAAGATTAAGTAGCCTGCAAACTAGTTCATTAACCCATACATTCAACTAATTTAACTCGTGATTTAGATAAATTTAAAAAAGCTTATATTTAAATGGATCCATGCTTTTATTAATTTTAATTCAGCGAGTTAAATGAGCTATATTCTTAAAAGAACACAATATGTATCGCTTAAATTTACTATGATTCATGGATAATTAAAAAATAAAAAGTGATAACAACATTTTAAATTTTTACATTTTATTAAGAAATTTAAAATACAAGTGAAATTTATTAAAAAAATAAAAAACGAGATTTACATATTTTTAAATAAATTTAATTAAACATTAAGAGTGTATTTAAAATGATATATTAAAAAATTGTTGCTATTTGTTAGATTTTAAAAAAAATATTATTATTTAAAAGAGAAAAAATGTTAAAACTATATATTATTTCAAAATTCAAATGATGAGGAAACAGAGCATTAGCTAATAAATGGAACGATAAGGTGAGCCGAAATCACTTTAAAATAGAAACTGGTAGAAAGTTATAGAAATAGAAAAACTGTGTTCCAGCAATCACTGTCAGTAGAAAATCCTAGAAAACTCTCCATTATTCTTTTCTTCGGTATATAAAGCTTCCTCTGTTTCCCATTTCCATCAGAAGCAGTGTTTGAGAAAGCTATTCCTTAAAAACCTCCGATTTTGATCCAAAACCAAAACCCAAATCACAATGTCTCTCATACCAAGCATCTTCGGCGGTCGACGAAGCAACATCTTCGACCCATTCTCTTTGGACGTATGGGACCCAATGGAGGGGTTTCCCTTCTCCGGCACCGTTGCCAACGCGCCTTCATCTGCGCGTGAAACCACCGCCATAGTCAACACACGCGTGGATTGGAAAGAAACACCAGAGGCTCACGTCTTCAATGCGGAGCTTCCCGGGTTGAAGAAGGAAGAAGTGAAGGTGGAAGTTGAAGATGGAAGAGTGCTGCAAATAAGTGGAGAGAGAAGCAGAGAACAGGAACAAAAGGATGATAAGTGGCACCGAATCGAGAGAAGCAGTGGGAAATTCATGAGGAGGTTCAGGCTTCCTGAAAATGCTAAGATGGATCAGGTCAAGGCTGCAATGGAAAATGGGGTGCTTACTGTTACTGTGCCCAAAGAGGAAGAGAAGAAACCGCAAGTCAAGTCAATTCAAATCTCTGGTTAAATCTTTTTGTTGCTGTTTCTCACAATCATAACAAGTTCGCGTGTTGTGTTTTCTTTTGTATTTGAGAAATGTTGTGTCGGTTTTGTGTATGTTTATGTCGTGCTATGTACTGGGGTAACGTGAAGTTTTAATACAGCGCTGGTTGGAAAGGTTTTTGATAAATAAATGTATCAATAAAATGTTATTTCGATATCTTAACATATGATTTTCTCTGTATCGTCTGAATTCTCATCTTCCATCTCACAGAAGGGACTTTCCTTTCTACTTTTTAAACCCCTCATCGCAAGGTTTTATTGAGAGGTAAGATATAGCGGTGATAGTTAAAAAAATAATTTAATCAAGCTTAATTTTATTTAATTTTAAACTAAATAGATGCTTAATCTTCTGTGGGAGTCCAGTTTCCTATGGGCATTTGTGGAATCACTGCAAAACATACCCTTGTTTGTAGTATGTTTCGTCTTTATTAAATGGTATCTAATTTCCCCAGATGAATTTTAAACAATCTTGCTTTAACAATTTACTTAAAATAATTTGATATTTACTGACGATGCAAGATCACACCGTTCAGAAATAAAAATGAATCAGAATATGAATAAGATGATATGGACGAATCGGGGGTAACAATCTTCGCCAAAATCGTTGTTTGTGAATATACACTTGTTAAATTGCTAGTGGTTAATCCCGTGTAATACCAAATATATTAAACAGCAACTTGGAGAAAAAGTTAAGGACTCAACTGAAATTTTTTTTAACAAGCCCAAATTATAGATGATCCTTTCGCAGGTACAGTTAAGAAAAATGCGAAAGCTTAAAACATTTATTTGGAAATTAACGTTACAATTTATATGCCACGCCACCTTAGGCGAGCAACTAGAGCCGTCAAATCAAGCATCTTTAATCAATAGGATTGATTCGACAAATAAAATAAAATAAAATAAATTGGATTGATATTTGTTAAATTACAAAGTTAACTTTTAGGTCTAGATTAAGTTATTTAGTATAAAATATAAATTTAATTAGAGTTAAAATTTTTATCTTAAAACGAATAAAAAATAATTTAGCAGCTTTAAGATAAACTCAAATCGACTCAAAGCAGTTAGATAGACTATTTTATCAGCTTTGAGATAAATTAGCGGTTCATTTTTAATATATATAGTTACAGGATATATTTTAATTTAAATCTTATTAAATTTTTTTTAATGATTTTTAGATACAATTACTTTAATTATGTTAATTTTCATTTAAGAAATGAAACGTGTCAACTAATTAATTTGATAAAAATATAACAAAAAACACAAATACTTTTAAGTTAATTTAACTTTTTAAAGTTTAATTTAATTTAAAACTAATAAACCTAAATTTAGTTTAATAATAATAATAAAACAACATTCCTTTGGGCATAAAATAAAAAAAAATATTAAATATTAATATTTTATAAAGACGTAATTATCCCAGTAGGATGAGAAACTAAACAGTGAACATATGAATTAACCGGCGTGATTCTAGTAAACCGTATTGAGTTTGAAATATGAATGAGAAACTAATTTTATTAAAAAACTAATTTTTTCACGCAATTTTTGTGATTTGTAAATTGGATTGTATCATAAACATCCCCACTTTCAACAAAAGTCAAAAGGATTAAAATTTAAAGCTAACATTTAATAGCAAAACCTTTCAGAATTACCGTTCATCGGGCGAGTATGATTTGTCAAGGGAAGTGTTACACAGTATGCAGAAATCATACTAGAGCAATGCGTCAAAATGTTATTGATTAAACAATAATTTCAAAATCAAGATCTAAGGAAGGAATGACAGAAATCACGGTTCAGAAATTTCGTTAACCAAACAACTTCATGGAATCATAGTGTGTTTTGGAACCCAACAAAAATCACGTTAGTATAATTTTTAGTGTTAAAATAAGTAAATTTGCCGTTAATCTAAATACCCCCATATTAAGTTGCATCAATCAATGTTCACGGGTAAACCCCAGCTTCCAGATTAAGTCCACTCACGTTTCCGTCGCAACCTTTAACGCCTCCCAGGCTCTCACGACTCAAGATTTCACGAAAGCATAAAGAAACAAATAAGGGGCACAGAAAATAAGATTTCACAAAAAAAGATTTGAAGCAAGAGCACTATGTAGAAAAACAGAAACCCTAAGGACAGAATTTGGCATATAGCAAAAGAAAACCCTAGACACAGAACAGTAACAAGTCCATTTGTACGTGCTTGGAATCTCAGGCAGCAATGTCGATGGCCTTGATAACAGTCTTCTCATGGGACTCAACCTTGGGCACAGTAACGGTGAGAACCCCGTCCTCCATTGCAGCCTTAATGTCATCTACATTGACTTTGGTAGGGAGAGTGAAGTCGCGGTCACACTTGCCGGGGCAGCGCTCGTAACAGTGCCACGTGTCGGTGTCTTGACGGGGGTCGGGTTTCTTCTCGCCGCAGATGCGGAGGACTCTTCCGTCTTCGATCTGAACTTTGAGTTGGTGCTTCTTGAGTCCAGGAACGTCCATTTTGAAGACATGGTGAGTGGGAGTTTCCTTCCAGTCAATGACAAAGATAGAGAAGGAGACAGCTCCGATAGGATGAGGGGAGGGGATCTTTGCTGGGATATCAGGGGAGGTGCCGAAGGTGATCCTTCCAGGGACGTGGATGGAGGTTGTTGGGGTTGTGGGGACCACACTCGCCATTTTCGCTTTCTTTCGGATGGTTGTTGCTACTGTCTAATGGACTTGGTGCGGCTTGCTTTTAAAGTCTCCTCAAAATATCTTTCAGGATTCCAGAACCTTCTTTCATCTTCCAACACGTCACTCTGCTTTTTCATTTTTATGCATTTTGCCTGGGTTTTTATTATTTTATTTTTATAAAAGATATAATAAATCATAGTTATATGTCTTAAATTTATATAATATTTTAAAAAATATTTAATGTAATAAATGCTTATAAAACGAACTTATAACACTGACTTTAAGCAATTAATAACGAGATTTTTACCAAAAATATGTTCATCAGATTTTTATTACTTAAATGTAATAATTATATTTTTATAAAATAAAAACATATTATTTTTATGTGCTTACAATCAGTCTTAAATTTTTTTAATAAAACTCTAAATAATTAAATTACCGACTCACACTTTAAATGAGAAAATATATTAGTAGCTCACATGAATATTAGACGATAACATTCCTAGCATGAATATTACTTTTTAAAATAAACCTTAATTAGTAGCTCACATGCTTGTTTTTTATTTAACAATAATTGATAACGGTTAAAACTGTCTAATCTGATTAAGTCTCTTTCTCTCCTTAATTAGCAGGTTACTTGGTCTCGAACTAAGTATTGTTCTTCCTCTTTACATCCATTTTCTTTATTCTCTTTCTTCTATTTTCTTCTATTATTCTTTGATTTTACAATTCTTCTTTAGTTGACGTACATACCATACAATAAAAGTTATGTAATGTTAGCACAAATCACGATTGTTTCATTCATGATCGCTCGAGCCTGAATAAAATTCCACGTATAAACTCCTGCTTCTAGATTAAACAACTCACGTTTCCATGGCCACGTTTAACGCTTTAGTTACTCTGCCCTTTGCTCTACCTCTCCCCACTCGTGTAAGATCAAATTTCATGAAAGACCAAAAATAAAGAAGACCACACCAGAAAGATTTCAGGCAAGAGTTCATAACAGGTAAGAAATGGGACTCATAACCGAAGTAAGTAGCAAAAAGGAACTAAACAGAAACCCTAAGGAAAGAATTTGAAAAAGGAAACCCTAGACAGAAAACAGACAAGGTTGGTCCGTGATTGGAGTTTGGAATTTCAAGAAGAAATGTCGATGGTTCTGATAACATTCTTGTCGTGGAATTCAACCTTTGGCATAGTGACGGTGAGAACCCCGTCCTCCATTGCAGCCTTAATCTCATCCACGTTGGCATTGTTAGGGAGAGTGAACTTGCGATCAAACTGGCCGTTGCTGCGCTCCTCACGGTGCCACTTGTCGATCTTCTCATGGAGTTCGCGTTTCCTCTCGCCACTGATATGGAGGACCCTGCCGTCTTCTAGGGCAACGCTGACGGCATCCTTCTTGATTCCAGGAACGTCCATTTTGAATACGTGCTCAAGGGAGGTCTCCTTCCAGTCGATGCCGAAGCGAGAAAACGACAGCGTTCCGACAGCAGAAAGAGCGCTTAGCGCCTCTGGTGGGACTGGGCCAGTGGATGAGCCGAAGGTGATCTTTCCCGGGACGCACACTGAGATTGTTGGGGTTGTGGGGACCGCACTCGACATTTTTGCTTTCCGGGTTCGTCTAGTGAGCAGAGAATGGAGAACGGTTTGCTTTTAAAGTGGGACGATTATTTTTTTAAGGATCCAGAACCTTCTTTTATCCTTCAACACGTGGAAATACTAATAAAATTACCTTTCTTTACACCTCTTCTTAATAATTTTCATTATTTTAAGAGTAAATATTAAAATATTTAATAATAATAAAAATATTAGTTTTAAATATATTAGAATTATTTTTTCCACTTGCTTGCTACCATGACGACACCATTTCTGTTAGTGCCCCACACAGCCCAGTAACTTTTACCATTTTTGCAGGCCGAAATTATCCAAATCCTCCCATTTCTTTAGGGCCCAAACTCAAGGAGTCTTCCCTCACTTTCTCCTTCTTTTACAAAATAAAAATAAAATCATTTCCGTTTGTTACATATCAGTTTGAAAAAACAGAGTGAGAAGAGCTTCACTTTATGGAGTATTTATATATTCACATTTATTATTATTATTATTATTATATCATATTTTTCTCTCTTTCTTCCGTCCCCCATTTTACATCCTATTTTAGGGGTACATCACATGAAAGCTTAATTGACATTTTCATCCTAAAAAAAAGATAATAAGAAAATATTTTCCAATAAAAATAAAAAATGAAAAAATCGTTTACTTTCGTGTAGTTAGATTTTCTATCAGTAGTCAAATTCCCCATCTTTCTTCAAAGGTAAAGCTTAGCTAATATTTTCATCCATAAAAAGAAACAGAATGAAAAACATTTTCGGATAAAATTACAACATGCAAAATTCGTTTACTTTCATATTGGTTGATTTTGTACCTTTGCAATTTCTCCTTCCCTCTGTTAAGATAAGGCTTAATTAACACAAATTCTATACGTTAATTGAGTTGTATTTGACATAATTACAAAACATACCTTTGCATTATATTTCAAATTTGCAGTTTTCTTTAGGTTAAGTTTCCAACGATCATAGTGAATTTTGCGCTCTATACTTGTCTCTAGAAGTAAAGGAATTAAGTTGTTTAAGATATATCTTATACCATAATATACCATATATCACCTACAAGCTTGGTCATACAAAATAGAAGGTACAAATTTTACACGTCTTCGTCACTTTCACTGGCGCTTGAATATTCATCCACGTTAACAGCAGCTACTTTGGTAGCACTAATCTTAAAAGAAGCAGAACGAATCTTATAGGGTAATTTTGCATTGCTTGAAGGCACCCCACATTGTGATACCCCTTTTTCTTCCCCTCTCTTCAAATCACTAGGGGGTAGGAAACAATCCATGGACAACCCTTTAATATTAAAGTCAACTTCTTCAATTTGCCAAGCCTCGTTTATTCGGGTTCTGGAATGGCTTTCAGGGCTTTCACCAAACCTTGATAAGGTGACCCAAGTCTTCCCCGCGTGTGCTATTTGAATGCCATCCACGGTTCTATAATCTTGTATGAGGGACTCCATGTTGGTTTCCCAGAATACGGTGTCGCTTTGGGAGGATTTGAGTTTGAGCATGTGAGAGTCTTCTAATTGGACCAAAAGGCCCGTTCTCTGGCTGAAGTAGCCCCACATCGTGTGGCCAACTATCTCTACGTTGCTGCTGCTTCTTGTTCGAAGTGAAGTGGAATCGGCTTCAAGTTTAAGTATGAAACATTCTTCGTTATTCACTGTCTTCTCCCCAATGCATATTGAGTTGTTGAAGAGATTGGCCGTAGACCTTGGATCAAGACCCTGTACCAATGGTATTAATTATCAAAGATTTTTAGAATGGATAAGATTATTTACATAAAATTTATGATCAAAATGTGGATAAAGTAATGTGGATGTGTTATTTGAAACCAGCCTTCCCCTATTTTTTTTCTCTCTTTTATTACTTAGCCGAAAGAATTAGTTGATTATGTTTAAGTAGCATATGAGTTATGTATCAAAGGAAATCGGTTGTGGGCATCAAATTAAATTAATGCACTTATGGTTTTATTTGTTTGTCAAACTTCATGTCTGGCTAAAACGAAAAGATTGCTAAATGCAAACAACTTGCTGTGACCCATTAAAAGGCTGGGAAGGACACAAATGAAAAATGCTTTTTAGAAAAATGGAGACGAGTTGTCATGCACTGAGGAATCATGATAAGTATTGTTGACTTTTAGATTCTAGCGGTCACAAGTCACAACTGGGGAATTGGGAAATTTTAGTTTTGGCTTCGGAATAGGAAAGAAATTTCCTTGCATTACCTATTAAATTGTTTGACTTTTCTTATTAAATGTAGACCTTCACGTTCTTGGAGGGCTAAGCTAATTTGTATTGAAAAAACAATTAAGTGAATTGACGTTTTTCTAATTCCTTTTTCAAAAGGGAAGCACTTGGTTTCGGATGGGTGGGATTCGGTTAAGCAGTGTTTGGTTTGGTTAGGAAGGCTGACAACATCCAAACTAGCTTCTTTTGTGCTGTAAGAAAGTTAGACTAGAAATGGCAAAATGAATGGATTATTCGACCCAATTTGAATTTTGATTAAAAAATAATTCAATTCATGCAAGATATATAGCAACACATTCAATTCAGATTCACACTTTAGGCAATAAGAGGGAATCAAATTGAAGAAGTAACACCAATTAATGCAAGAACATGGTTTATAAACCCTTTTGCCCCCTGTTCACAATTGTCAGAGAAACAAACGAATCCCAAACCTCACTCATTCCCTAGTTTCAAACTTAACAAACTTGGAAGCCAGAAGGCAATTTAGCATGAAAATCAGTGAATTTTTTTTTTAAAAGTTGGGTGAATCATCTTTAACAAACCCAACGTCCCCACAGATATATAATCGTACTAGTAAATCCTAATAATAATTAATCATGTTCCATTATGCCAAACAAAAAAAAAAGGACACAAGGGTATGCAAATTTAACAGCTTTAATTAAAGTAAGTGAGAAAAAAATTGGTGAATTTCAAATTGAGATTACCTGAAGTAAACGCCTAAGTGGTCTTGGTGGGCCACGAGAAGCATGAGAATGGTGCCAAGGTGTTTGTCTCCATGCCAATTTTCCATCACTTCCGGCACTGATCTTGTACCCAGAAACCACCAACTCCAAACACCATAGCTCTGGCTTCTTCTGCCACACCACGAACCCTCCCATTTCTCCTTTCATTTCCACTTTCTTCATCTTCTTGCTACTCGCGTACCCTTCTTCCCCTCCCCAAAACTCTGAGCTTCCTATTCTCACTTCACCCATCGCATACATGCTTTCCACTGCATTCAAAGCACTCTCTCCTCCCACAGCTGCCACGTATTGTTTCACTATATATTTTGCCATCGAAGCCTCCTTCACAAACATAACAACACCAACAATAAAAGAATCAAAATTGGGATATTCGGTTATCATGAATTATGATCGATCTTTGTGAAAAAATGACAAAACTTACTTCCAGTTATTCATGTGATTTTTATTTATTGTCACTAATATTTTTAGTAAAAAAAAAAAAACACTTAAACAAGAGTGAGGATAGATACTTAACTGTGACAACAGAGACATCCTTATTTTTTTATCCTAGATTAAATTTTCATTTCAGGAACCTGTTATAACCTTAAATGTCAACTATTATCAATGTAAAATTCTAATCTTAATTAGAAAACAACAGAAAAAAAAAATACTCGAAATAACTGTATCTAAGATTTGTAAAAACAGTGTTTTTAGAAACTAACAATGTTACGGGCTTTAATGTTGATGGGTTGGTTGTGAGAGGTGATAGGGAAAGGGACTAATGGAGCTCCAACAACTCCAAGCAATAATTGTATATCAGTATTTGGGCCTGCAAAGAGTGATGCTGATGATGTTCTTGAAGAATCGAGGTTTGGTTTCATCCATGACTTCATGTTTTGCCAAGCTCTACTAGTTCCGCTCTTGATGGTGAAAATCTCCTCTGGGATGGGAACCTCAAGCACCGTTTCAAGCCCATCCTCGCGTTCAAGATTGGGACAGAGCTTCTTCATAGCAGAAAGACAGAGTAATGTAACTGTGTATTTTGATTGAGTTACCAATTACTACCACCCAAGAAGGAGTTTGGAGATAAAGGTTGTGTTTATGACATTTGGAAGTAAAGAAAGAAAAGAGCCAAAGAGATGTTGGAGTCTTGAATTCAAAGGGAGAACCAAAGCGAGCTATGTAATATGTAAGAGTGTTGAGTATGTCACTTTGGAAAAAGATCACCAACCAAACAATGGGGACCCTCTATTGTCTATATCGTCGTGTCTGCACGCCTCTTTCACAATACATAACTTAATAGGTAACATAACTTACGGTTTCCATATTCTAATTTAAATTTAAATTTAGATACATAGTACTTGTGTGTATAATTTTATGATTCTCATGTCAACTTATTTTATTTTAAAAAGGGAACATGATAATGTAGGTTGTTGAGATTAAGTAATGACTGGTGCTCATCTTCATTTACTTTGGCAGAAAATGAAAGGCTAAGTTGTTAAAGTTCTCATGTTCATACTTTGTTTTGTTAGTCTCCTTCCTCGTTAATTGTTTTTTTTTTTTAACGCGATTAATTTTATTTGTCTCGCTCTAAATTTTTCTGTGTGAAATATATTTTTCGTTTGGAAAAACATATTTATATTTAAAGGGTAACTTGTGGTTTTATATAAGTTCTTTTAACTTATTTTACTAAATTTAGTCAAATTTAATGAATAAGGTTACACTTGTAGGAATTTATTTTAATACAGTTTAACTAACTGTTTTACCAAATGTGCCCAAACTCATCTCCAACCATCTAGATAGATTTCACCGAATATTTTGAGTATTAAATTATGGAAATTTGACTAAATTTTATAATATGTCAAATATCCTTCAAAGTGGTTAAAAGAAATTTATTGTCGTAAATAATTTTTACTAATTTATTCCCCTCATCTGTTAATTTAGATTTTAGTTTTAATACGTTGCTCATATTAAAAAATTAGATAGTGTGTAATATATAACTATTAACTTAATTAAATAATATATGAATATTACTAGTGAAGCAATTTGGGGTCCTTTTTTTTTTCTTATAGTATTATTATAGTTAATTAACTATATTAAATTAACATTACATCATATGTGATTGCGAGGTGAAATATATACATAGTGTGTCCGCTACACAATTAAGATACTTTCTCTTCATATGCACAATAAGTGAATTTGATTAAGGTAAACGACTTACATTAAAAGTGAATCCAACTATAAGAAATTAAAGAGAATTCAAGAGTTAAATTGCAATTGCGGGAAAAGAGAAACACGCGTAGATGAGCTCCAAAGAGAGTGGATTTCCCCACAAGTCAAAATTGTGTTACCTCCTACAATGACATACTTTTATAAACTTTGTCTTTTACCAAATAATTACTAACTAGTTAAAAGGATAAAATCATACTTATGCAAGATACGCTACCATTTAACTAAAGATAATGTCGGCAACATAATATACGCAAAGAACTTAAAGATACATGTCCCAACCATATAAGATATATATGGAAGATGCGACCAACATTCTAATTCTAATTGTAATTGAGAATGGTAGCCCATGGCCCTGGCCATTAGTGGTTGCTGGTTAATGGTTAGGATCACATGAATCTATTCATGTCTCCAACGGGCAGAGCCATGTGAGCTGTGGTCTGATCCTATTTCTGATAACTGGTCCGGTTGAGCTGACAAGGATGCTATTAAGCGACAAATTACATTGTCGTTTTCGAATCTGAATCATTTCATGCATGTTCTCATGAAAATGCTGTTGTTAGCTAGAGTGGCCACGGGCCTCGTAACTTATATTGGTGTTACAAGAGGACGTTTATTTGTTGAAAAAAAAGGGTTTTATTCAAGTTGATAACTTTTCTTGTTTTCTTGTCCCCATTGAAATCTCCGTATCTACTCAGATCTTGCTTGATATTTGTTACCAAGTACGGGCTTCAGATAGGGTAGTGATTTTGGAGTGAATGTATTTCTTATGAAGTTTGAAAGATGAAAGCGTTTTTATATCAATTTTGTCTCCAAAAACAATGTCTGGAAGCTTGGTCTATCTAAATGTTCAAGTTTTTCCTTTTTTCGAGTGGTTGAAACTATTGATGTTTGAGAACAGGTAACAATAAAATTTTTAACACTTTTTCTACAATATATTATTTATTGTTAAACAAAAGTTTCATTTAAAAGAGAGTGAAAAATACAACGGTGAGATATTTTCGTATTACATGCATAATTAAAACATATATTGAGAGTGCACTGCTAGTATTCTTTCAAAAGTTTTAAGAATTAATTTTATATATAGTTTCATTAAATTAATAATAATTTAGAAAATAAGATTTCAAATCAAGATTGATGTGTTATTTTTTACTGGTAGCTATTGCTGACCTTTCAATTACCTCTAGAGTCATGATATTTGAAAGGAGAACTTTCGGCTTTTCTTGCTCCTTAATTTAATTATTACTTGCTATATATCACCATCGTGTTAGTTTTTGAAGTGAGATTTCCGAATAAAACTCCTTACACGGACGCAGGTCTTTTATGTCGTTGCATCTAAATATTTTTACAGGTTAAGAAAACATTTTAATAACATATTACGCAAAGTAACAAGTTAGATCCTCTCATGCAGCCTTCTCTAACCCTCTAGTACAATTTCTAATCCAATGAACGAGATTGATAAAAAAGAAAAAGAAAAAGATGTAATGAAAAAACACAGTAGTTTATCTATAAGGAATGGAAGGTTCAGCCGCTGCAAAATATCTAAATTAGAATAGTTTTACAATTTTGACTAAATTAAGAAAGTCAAACTTTTTTTATTGAATCAGTCACAAAAATTAATAATAACAACTTGCTAGAAAATGCGTAGGCATATTAATAAGATCTTGTATATCTACTTGCTTGCTGTTTTAGAGGATAAAACGATGATCTATGTAATTTGAGAATTGCTTATTTATATCTATATTTTGGATAGATAGGTTAAGTAATATCCAAATAAACAAGGATATTTAATGCCATATTCTAAGATAAGGTATCAGCAATCTCAATTTCAACTATCCTCAAGTAATTAATAATAAAAAAACCTTCGATCGTCCATGTTTATCATTTTAATATTGTATAAAAAAATCATTCGAAGTTTTGAGTAACTAAAAAGATGTTGCAATTAAGTATAGATACTTAGCAAAATGTTGCAATTAAGTGTAGAGACTCAAATTAATTTTATAATAATTGCAGTTGCATTACAAAATTAGGTCCAAAATAACTAACAATATGAGATATATAATGTTTACTAAGCTCGAGCAACAACCAAATTACATATCCTCATGGCCAACTTTTCGAAGTCACGAATCATGACACAGGTAACGAAACAATGAAAACCAAGAGCTATAAAGTTAAAGGACATTTACAAAATATTGTAAAACGCTATATACTAGCTAGGTTTTTTATTTTGGAGATAAACATAATAAAACATAATTAGAAGACCAAAATATTTCATTTAATTATCATTCATTTTATACATTTTTGGGTAAATTTTATAATATTATGCTGTTTATTTTGATTTTTCATAAAATATTTAATCTTTAATTAAATAGTAACGAAAGTTTAAAATTAACTTAAGAAACTAAAATTATATTTATTTTTAAAATATATCTTTGTCTTTGAACTAAAAAACAAATTATATATGCATTTTTATCAATAAAAACATTTTTTGTGTTATTATGTTCATTAAATAGTTTAATAACTGATTTTATAAAAAATAATTACATATATATTAGCTTAAAAACTTTTAACATTAGTATAAATTTTTAAGCATTATTACCATAGAAACTTGTAATTCTTTCCATGCATACAACCAACTTATCTTTCACTATAAAAGAAATAACTTTCATTAACAACTTAGTGTCAGATGTAGTTTTCATTGATAGATATTTTTTTAACAAAATTTAAATTATTAATATAGACATTTTAAGTATATACTAACAATATGATATATTGTACTCATAAATAATTTTATTAGTAATATATATATATATATATATATATATATATATATTAGTATAGTTCATTATTTATTAAAACAAGTCTTTAAATCTTTTATTAATAAATAATTTTTATCACACAAAATTTATATTAATAAAGATTACTCTAATACCTAATAAATTTATTTGTGTTAATAGAAGATAATTTTTTGTAGTGTGTATTTTACAAAGGACTCACCTGATATCCACTCTTATAGAATAAATTAAAATCCTCATTCTTAATAGTAAGATAACTCTGTTACATATTTTTTTTTTTTCGTAGCTATATATTTTTCTTATTTTCTGGCACATATCTTGTAAGCTTGTATAAAGTTAAATCAATAATTTTTACAATTAATTATTCAATTAAAGAAAAATTTTAATTCAAACTTTATATTTACTTGATCAACATTATGCATAATATAATTATAATTATAAATTAACATTAAAATCGTATTTTATTAATTTAATGTTCATATTTTTAATATGAAAAATTTTTGACATTGTATTTTATTATAATATATATATATATATATATATATATAATTTTTTACATACATTTGTAAATATTTGTAGTTAACCTTCATAACAAACATGATATTATGGCTATAAAAAAATTAATAATAAATGAATGTAAGTGTAGCAAGAAAGGAGGGGGCAGAGTGGCAGATCATGCAAATTAGCGAGCGCCAATTGCGCCGAGTTATTGGCGGCAACTCGTGCACTCACTCAACTATTGTCTATTTGCCTTCTATTATTATCAAGAAAATGCTAAAATAATATTTTAAAAAATTAATAATATATTTTTAACAATTTTTTATAAAATTTGTTTATTAGTTTTTTAATCTTTATTCTTAAGATACTGTTTAATAAAACATTTATTATTAATCATAGGATTCTAATTACACTGCCCCAAACACTCTTTTATGTCCTACTCTTTTATATTATCTCATTTCTATATCTGAACAGGTGAGTTACCTTGAGCTTCTCTGCAAGCAGATGTATAATATTGAAGATTCGAGAGCAATGTATCATGGATTATTTTAATCTTTAAAATTATAAACATTACTTGTTTTAGTTTTCAACTTTATATAAAATTTCCTTTAATTTTAAGTATATAAAATCCCATTTACCTTAATTTTAGTGGGTAAATGTTTTTTAATTAATTTAAAATATTAAAATAAATTTATTTATTTAAAAATCAATATAAGGTTTTATTTCAGGCAATAAAAAAAATTAAAAAAAAATTGAAAAATACGTTTACCCGTGTTTTTATCTGTCTCTTTCACCCCGAAACAAACTTTTCGAAGGCATATTATTTGGACAGTTCATGACTGACCCATCATGTTGTCACATGGCATTCATGAATTCATCGATTCAGAGAATGTCTAAAAAGATAATGTCTTACACATATTTTGTCCACTCTTTCTTTTTCGAATAACATATACATTATTTATAGGCAAAATTAATAAAAATTAGAAAAAATGCAACAAAACCTTTACAAATGTTATTTTTAATATTATCATTAGTATATAAATACTGCACTATGCAAAAAGTTATTCTTACTCTACTTAGCAATACCTCTCTTGATTATGGTATATGTAGCATTAGTTATCCTTTGTTGGGTGTATAACAGTCACACATTTCCTTATCAGTGACATGAATTTTTATTTTTGGGTATTTACATGGATATATACAGAAAAAGGACCAAAAAGAGAATAAGAAGGTTATGTTTTATTCAAAATCTTTATAACATATTTGGACCCCTAGAGAAAATAGAGCATTATATCATGAACTGATATTTTTCTCCCTCTTCGTATAATAGTTATGTGAGAACCATCACGATATAATTGTATAAAGGTGCATATAATAATTACCTATTTAATGGATCGAATCTCGCCTTAAAGAAGTCACTGTTAAGCCATGCTATCAAATTATTGAATAAAGTTATTCTAGTCTCCAGTAAGTGATTTGGTGCCAGGTAAGGAAAATGTATTTTTTCAGATTTGAATCTTAACAAATATTATTTATAAATAAACTTTATTACTCTTTTCCCGAAGGAATTAATCTGAGTCTACCAAAATTGATACTTGGCAATGTAAAGATTAATGGGCTATCGCAATATAAAACAATGCTATGACTACTTTTCAAATAATATAAATTAGCACTTGCATCGATTTTATTCTTACAAACATAACATTTTACTATAACTTTTCTTCTTCTTCTTTTTTTAATTTGAAAGGTCTTAGGTATATTAACATTAGAATTTATGAATATTTCTGATGTCCCAATACAATTACATTTTAGAATAAGTTGACAAAATAAGATATTGACTGGATGATGGAACATAAATTTTCATAATATACACAATCAATATTCGGTATTTTCCTTCGATTTTCACATTTTTACTTGCCTTTGGGGCATTCGACTTTAGTTATTTCCCCCTTGAATGTTTCTTGGTCTGAAACTACCTCATGAAGGTAAAGCCTGGGGAACTCATCCAAATTTTTTCTTTACAATTCCAAATTCAAGATTGTTGATGCTAGTTATGAAAGTCTACTAAGGGCTTATTTACACACAATCAATTCCTCAATACATATTTCAACAAAAAATCCAAACTGAAATTAATTTATGTGCACATTCCGATTATGTTTAACATTTTAAAATCAATTTTACTTAACTTTAAAACAAATTGACCCAAGTCAACCTTATTGTACAGAATCATAGGCACACCACTAGTAAACATTCATCTATTTGCTTTGTCGCCTTAATATTAATTAACATATATAATAAACACTATATCAAACAAAAGCATCTTTTCCTCCACATGCCAAGCTTGTCTCTCTCCATTTCAACACATTTCTACATGACTACAATGTTATATAAATTTAATTAAGGAAAGAAAATAAACGTCCGTAGTACTATTCTAAATTGAGCAAAATAAGACCAACAATAATACAGCCAAAAGAATAAAATACACAGATGAACATCATATGTAAAGAAAGAAAGAGATACCAATCAACTATGCAGGCACAGGTATTGAGTTTGATACCTGTTTAGGGCCTTAGGTTGGTCTAATAACCCTCTATCATCTTAACCTGCTTCATCCTCAAGTTACACAGGAATTCAAGAGGGCACATTAAAGTGAAAAAGCCAGGATATAACAAAGGCAAAGACCATACATGCTAGCAGGAAATTCAAAAACCGGTGACCCTGCCAGAAACTTCGAGTTTCTGCGGGTGGTGCTGGTGGTGGCACCATGGAAGCATCACTTGCCTCATTCCACTGTTCTGTCATTTGAACTTCAATTGCACCGGCAACATTGTGTGCAATTGATCCACAGATTTCACAAGTTCTGTTGATCATACAAATTAAATAACTGCAGTTAACAACTAAAAATAAAGCACTGGTTCAGTAAATTTGTAATAGTTTTAAAACACAAGTAGAAGTAAATTTGTAACAAGAAAGTGGAAGGATGTCACCTACCAAGAAAAGTTTGTCATGATTACCACCAAAGCAGCATTGTATTCTCATATATAATCCCCGACGCAATTATATGCCTTATTTATAAGTAGAAACTTCCAAAAACTAAACTGGGATTTTATGCACTCTTTCTATCTTCTCATATTTTTGTTAAACCAAGCAAATATAAAGTGATTTTCATTCCAAAATTTCCACTTTCCACCGATAGAACTATGTGTCCAATTTCCCAAAGTATTTTTCTTTTGGCACACTTTGACGCTTACATTATCATTTAGTTGAATTTTGAATTTGGAAAGTGCTAGAGCCTGTCAACAATAGGTGACACTATTACTTCATGAAATGCAGGTATTGCAAAAGTAGGGTGAATGATGTAGCTATTCTTGATTTTTTTTTTAAGGAAAGAAAAATGGAATCAACGAACAAGAATGACCTAGTCAATAAATAAAGAGATAATTATACAGACCTCCCCAGAGGTTAACGTTAATTACACTGACACATTTCTTGATTGGAAAACAACACCTGCCTCCCATAAATTGAGTACTGCGTCTACATTTTGAGACATTCTTCTTTTAAAAGAAATTCCACATAACTCATACTTTTATTTATGGACCATACATACAATCTCATTAAAAATAACAAAGCAAGGGAAGTAAGTGTAGTTTTCCAAACAATAAAGGTTTCAGCAATTCAGTGTAAATTGTGTAATTAACACTAATACACATGCTTGGAGAATCAAACCTGCAAACAGTATATTTTCAGCTCCCCCCACCAACATTCTTTCTTTTAAGCATTTAATCTTATCTAAATAATTATTGGAACAATGTTGCTTAATTTAGCTCACACTATGTCCTGTATGCAAGAGAAGAATCAGATTCACACATCACTATTAAGAAACTTCATCAAACACAGTCCTTTAACCAGCATCATTATCCCAAATCCTCTTCACATCATAACCACGTGCTAATGGTATTTCAGCAGCAAATAGACAACTCAAAAAGCACAAGATTTGGTAAGAGAGTAACCATGCCTCAAGTCAAATAAAGGTCACAAGAGTATCTTGTTCACAATTTCATCCAAAATGAAAAAAACCATAGCAACTTAAGATAGTGAGTGCAGAATAGCACTCATCAATTTTACAAATTCAAAATACTTTGCTTAGTAGCACAAGTCACAAACCATTCCAAAGACATATAAAAGTGCACTTACTTGTTTCCCTTGATCTTGAACCAAGCCTCAGCACAGTGTTTGTGAGCAGCAGCCAAATCATCCTTGCAAGAACATCCGAGCTCAATGGGGGTCCCAGATTCATGGTTGGTCATATCCATGCTGAGATGGCAAATCCTACAATCCCTCTCCACATTAGCCAAATTCACCTTCACCTCAGAGACTGCACCTTCCAGATCCACCTCAACAGAACACTCTGATGCAGAGGATTCTCTCTCCTTTTCACAAACTCCCACAATCTCAGTCCCAGAATCATGGGATGACCTTTGCTCCTCATCTGACCGGTCGCCGGAGTCAGAACACCCTTCGCCGCCGGCAGAACTCCGATAACAACACCCATTGTCTATGTCAACAACAACAACATGAGACTTGTCCTCAGTAATTAACATTTTGAACACCCAAGTTGAGAATCTTCATGTAATGACTCAAGGAGGCAAAGATCATTAATACCCACCAAGTTTTTAAGGATAAAGTGTGCGTCTTTCTGAACCCCAACACGAGAAAGGCAAGAGTTGTGTGCAAGGTATTACTCTCGTGTGGTAGGTGATCCCTCTCTTCTGAGTCCCTGACAGAACCTTTGAGAGAGAGAGAGAGAGAGAGAGAGAGAAATGAATCAGAAAAGATGATATAAGAGAAACAGCATTATGATTATCCAGTGATCTGATGGGAGGAAATTTGGCAAAACATTTTCCTGATTTTTTTTGTTTGTTTCTATGTAAAAAAAAAGGGGTGTTGGAAATCTAACAGTGTCTCAAAGTATATAGTTTTTAAATACCATGTCTTATTTTCTCTATGTCTATGTCCTTACCATAATAACAAGCAAAAGAAACCTTAAAACAAGAGAGATTCTTCAGCACGGGTCATGGTTGAAGTGACATGGTCTAATGAGTTATGAGATAAGTGGACCCCACCTTTCTTTTTCTCTTGATGAGTCTGTGGAGAAAAAAACGGTGGTTTTTCTACCGTAGGTTGCCAAATCATGGGTGCGACAGAGCAGAAAATGCAAGAAAGAAGGAAAAGAAAAGGGAATATGAGTGAGCATTGAGAATGAATTTGAAGAGTGTGCTTATATGATAGATAGAGGTCACTCAAAAGCTCTTTCTTTTGACGCTGCCACCAACAGAGAAAATTGTGAAAAGCACAAAATTCTTTGTCCTCTTTTCCATTCACTGCTTTTCCTTTACCCTTTTTTTTCGTTGTCTTTTTATGTATTTTTCGATTTTCTTAATTTCTCTAACCTTATTAACTTGAAAAAAGAAAAAAAAAAAATACTATACAGTAGTTGAATGAATGACATGACAACGAAGATAACCCATCATCATCGGGTAAAATCTTAAAGTTTTTTTTAATTCATGCATTGCTTTTTTTATATTATTTATGCAATTGTTCTGCAAAACTTTAAAAGTTATTGATAAATGCTTACAAATTCTGTAACGTTATATTTAAAATTTAAATTAATGCATATTTACTGAATTGAATTTTGATGTATTATTTACAGATAAACTTTCATAATTTTTAATTAACTTTGATAATTTGTGTTATTAAAAAGTTACAATACATCATTAAATAATAGTATAAAATATACTGGAAGTTCTGATAATTAAAATTCAACCTATTTTAATATATAACGTCTGGCATGCATGTGCATCGTGCAGCCTGATGATGTAGTTACAACTTTAAGGCAATAGTAAACATATAGTCGTTACATGGGACAAAAGAAATGTTTTTTTTTTCTTTTTTAATATTTAGTTATCGTATAAAAATAAATTTTCGTTTAGTCCAAGTAAATATATTATAATTTTGTCTCTATAGTATGCTATTGTTATAATATCATATGCTAAATTAAGGTACAATAAAATACAAAGATAAAATATAATTAAAATTGATATAACATATAAGGATTAAAAAATGACACAAATTTCAATTTTTTAAAAAAATTTACAGATAGTGCGTACTATTTTTATATTGTTTGTACATAAGATAAGGAGATTTTGACTTTTCAGATACATTACATACTCATAACAATATATATATTCCTAAAATAAAAGGATAGAGTTTGTATGTACGTTCCTTATGAGATGTAAAGTACGTTAGAAAACTACATTTAACATTAGTAAGAAAATTGTGTGCATTAAATGAGGTTTTTTATGAGTAAAATTTAATAAATTATGAAATAAAACAAAATGACTAATTATAAGATTGATATACATAATTAATTTAGATAACTAAGAAAAATATCAACAACTTGGAGAGACGAAAATAATCTAATTTGAGAATACAAGTGATTGAAATTTGAATGGAAAAATAAATTTAATATAAAAAATTAAGATTAAGTCTATGATTTGGGAAAAAAGAGCAAGATAGAAAGTGTTCTCATTATAAATATAGAAGTTGATTGATATTCTTAACGAAATTGTATATACCTTTTTATTATTATTATTTCTCGTGCTTTTTTTTCCCTTCTTATGCAATTTTAATCCAACATCAATTGAATGTTTTGCCGTTACTATTTCAGTGATATTTCATCTAATATCACTTCGATTTCTTTTTTAAGAACCAATAGTTATTTTCAAAGATAAATATTTTACAAAGCACTAAATATAAAAAATTATATAAAATGTGTTTTTCCCCGTACTAATATAATTTTATTTTAATTTACTGCAATATTTTTCAGCTTACCAGTCCACAATGAATGCTGTATAGTTGTCTTATATAACTCACTGTTAATTTACATATTTTTAGTGCCGTAATGGTAAATTGACAAAACTAAATATATGTTTTGATAATATTCGGTGATAAAGATAATTGCCATGCGATGTTGAACAAAGAGAAAAAAGTCTACGTGCAATTGATCATTTCCTCCTCTTATGGAAGAAATTTGCTCGAGAAAACATCAGTTAAATATTAAAAAAAAAAAGAAAATAAATGTATGCATTTTATTGTAATCTTAGTTTATGTTTTTTGGAACATCAAATTAATCACTTTCTTTTTTAATTATTTTGTCTGGTCAGTTTCCTTTTTAAACCCATCATAGACGGGCCAAATGCCATGTTTCGATGATCCAAGATACTGGTTTCACCCTCCATCGTCTTTATGCATTATCAGGAAAAACCGCTGGTTGGCCCGCCAACTCGATAGTCAGCCAAAAAAATCCTAAATGGGGCCAGGCAAAATGTTAAATGCTGCAGATCTTGATGGCTACATCAACCTTATAGAATCACATGCTTCACCCCTAAACAGTCTAAACCTATAAATTGACAAGATTCACATTGAGTCTTGATTTTTTACAAATTTGTGCGACTATAGTACACTTTTCAACATCTATTAAATAGATTTTACTCGGTGAAACTTCGCATAAAATTTACTTAACAATGATGAATGTTTGAGATAATGGGTTACTAGTATTACTTGCAAAGGTTCTCTGAGACCCAATAAAAAAAAATCAAAAGCGACTCGTGATGTTGATGATATCATGTATGTAAATAAATCTACGGGATAAAATGTTATGAAATAAGAACGGAAATATTCCTTTGCTAGATCAAATTGGTATATATATTTTTCATATTGAAGTTGGATGTACTTCAAGAAAACTCTTAACGTCAATGAAAAAGCCGAAAGAGAGCTACTCACTCAATAAAGTTGATGCTCTACACTGTGCGGTTGACTGTATTGAAACAAACTTATACCATCTATGATCTATCCACCCCCCATAAAATGTCACAAATGAAGGTTGAAATCCACCTGAGGAGCTAACTTTAGGATCAAACTTCCGCAGGCATTGCAAAATGTTGCCTAGCCATCTTTGTCGATAACACTTCTTGCATCACACCCAAAAACTTGCCAGGTCCCTCCTCAAATTGCATGTAGTCATTCTTAAGACCTTGTCCTAAGAAGCTTGTTTGTGAGGCAGTGGCAATCCCTTGAGATGCTGTCAAATTTGTTATATTCTCAATTTCCCCATCACTTTGATTCTGAAGGCCACTCTTGATCCAAGCTATATTGTTTAAGTCTGTGACTATTGAAATCAATTCATGACTAGAGGAGGAGGGGGACTCCAAATAGTCAACAAACTCAGGACCAAGAAGTGACCTGTGCGAATGGCTTTCCCTCAATTCTGTTGCACAGCAGCCGTGACCACATTGCAATGGAACTGTGGGCTCACATCCAATACCATCAAATAACTTGCAGGATCCTACATTTGGTTTGGGGGATTGGATCAAAGGACTCTGCCTTGGGAACATCTTTGAACATGATCCAGTTCTTGGCCTGCCTTGAGGATTATAAACACTAAATGCACTAATACGTGCTACTGGTCTAAAAAGGATAGGATGTCCCTCCACTGTAGCATTATCTGTTCTTGGAGGTTTATTTTCATTATCCATCATGAAATTTCTGACTTCTTCAGGATTATTGTTTATATCCCTGATTGACATGGTTTCTTCAGAGGATGCCTTTGGTTTTTCAAAACTACCATCTTCAATCACATCAGCATGTGCTGGGACATATCTTCCCAGTTCCATACACCTGCGCTTCAGTGTAGAATTCCAGTGATTCTTGATGGCATTATCTGTTCTACCAGGAAGAAGCCTAGCAATTGCTGCCCATTTGTTTCCATGGATTGCATGGGCTGAAACTATAATACTATCCTCTTCCTCTGTAGCAATTTAAGTTTCATTAGATTTTGCCAATTTACAGCACAATATTCATAATGCCTGGCTAATTTGTCAATTAAATCATAGCAAATCTACTTCAATAAAATATATAGCGTACATTAGGAAAATTCACTGGAAAAAGAGAATATAAGGATTTAGACATGGTCTCATGAAACTTCCATGCAGTAGGCAGGCAGCAACTATCAAGATTTTCTTTTCATTAAACTCAAGAACATCACATATCAAAACAGTGAAAACAAATAATGTTATTCAAGTTGCGCTTTAATTTCAAAATGCTTGGGTATTCTAAACTAACCATTATTTTTCAAAGACAATAATAAAATATTGTTTATGTTTCTGGTTTCCTTATTAAAATCTAACGTGAGTTAATTTTTGTTCCCAACCTAGTGTATGGCATGTAGATCTTTGGGTTCACTCCTCCCTTCCTAGTTTGCTTTCCTGCTCTCTATTTTTTTCATACAAGACCACAAGGCATGATCACCCTTTTTGGATCTGGAACCAATCCCTATTCAAAAGTCAGGTTGGCTTAGGCCACTAGTCTTTTACAGTAGATTCAAAAACATTTAAATAGTAGGTAAAGTCTATCCACATAGAACTCAATTTGCCAGCAAAGCCACACTTGGTTACTGCTCTCTCCTTTGTTTTCTTACCAAAGTCCACCTCAACACTGTCAGCATAAAGCATAAAGCATAAAGAACATTTCAATGAATTCATCCAGCCCCCTTTATCTATTCTAGCATAAACCAAACTTGATGAATTTCACCAAGCCAAAACTACTCATATAATGCATCACTTGGCACAGTTCCAAAATTTAATGTTGATTTGTTATGGATTTCTTCATTATGAATATTGTCTGGAAACTCCTAATACTCCATTGACCTCTTGTCAGGGCCAAGGGGTGTTCCTTCCATAAACCAAAGGGACTTAACTATTGTGCAACATCTTACCATTATATCTGGCACTCTCCCATGGTTATGCTGCAATACCATAGATGACTTGAAGATGGCTTTTGACTAATCTTTTGTAATGTGATTGTGGACATAAGTTTTTATGTCATATAATTGTGTCTCAAACTGTAAATTAGTAATATAGCAGAGAGTTAAGCAATCAGACTTGGGGTTAAAGTATTCTGACGATCGAGATTCATGCTTGGTCCTAGTAACTTTTAGGCAGTTATTTTAATTCTATTATATTATTTGTCTCTATAATAAGTAGTTCACTGATAAGAACTTAGGATTATACGAGGAATTGAAAGAGACAGTCCTGTCAAGATACTATCTCAAGAAGTTGCTACAATTATCTTTTTCAGAAACACATGACAAAAGCTGAGAACAACAAAGAAAAGAGGAAGCTCCATTGAGTCATTTGTCAATGGGTCTTACTAAGAGTTGAAGAAATACTTCAATAAACTAGGAATCTATGGCTCATTCGTGTTCAGATCTCAAGTGATAGGATTTAAAACTTAAAAAAATGGATTTATAAACTGTTGATTGGAACATCAACTGTTGAAACTGTGATAAAATACATGCACATGAATAACAAATAAGGAGGTTGTTAGAATTTACTCCCTTGATTTTCCAATCAAAGATTATAAATCTATACTTTCCCCTATAAGGTGCACTCCTTGCTTTACAAGAGTCAAATCCTTAATACAATATCATTGGTTAAAATAGATCATGTAACTTATGAATAGCTTAATAACAATCAGCATAACCAATTATATATGCACTATAACAGCAGGTAAAATCTTAACAGTGTGCAAAAGAATATACATTTTGTGACTATATTCATGACCTAAATCAGGTAAATGTCATGATGGTAAGCATCACAATCAATAAATATTTAGTAAGTATAAAAAAACTGAATAACCACATTTGAAAGTCCTTTAGAAAATACTACCCTCACCAAAACAAAAGTGGTAACTAATTTTTTTTAAAAGCTCCAACATAATCATTTAATTCTAATTCTAAAGTGATAGTCCAAAAATCTAATATAGTTAATGACTAGCAAGATTCAAGCTTACACCAGGTGAAAGGCATATATAAACTATAGTCATTAATCATAGTTTTCAAAATAGCGTGTAAAAGTTAGACACAGTGTACCATGTAGTGTGGCTATCTAAAATCAAATAATAATTAAAATGATATCACCACACAGGTTGACAAACGGGATAGTGAGGAGCTGGACAAGGTCTCACTTCATGAGATGATAATAGATGAACAAAATAATTAGAAATTACAATGAGTATCAAAGTAATGATGAAGCTAAAACTGATAGATGACACTGATATCACGCTGCCAGTTTCTGAAACTATTTTGATTGCTTCTTACTACATAAGCTGGTTGGAATATGGTTGCTAAAAATGGATTCAATTAAAATGCCAAAACAAGAAGGAGAAACACTGAAGATCAACTTCAACACAAAGAAATAACAATGTTTTTTGCTGCCACTATAAAATACTATTCCAACTTTTAAAACTCTTAAAAATGTAACATCAATGAAAAATATATAAAAAATGGAGATTGGCTCAAGAAAATGGCAAACATATTTTATATATACTTCATATAGGAACACCAAAAATCTGGATTTATTCCACTTTGAGAATATATTGTACTTGTATTAATATACATATATGATAAGAACCTTGAAAAAATCACACAAGAGCTAACCATTGTAATTGGAGAGTCTAAGGCCTTGTAAAACCCTCATTAAAATCCTAGCATTTCACCGCACTCTGCAGTACTAGTGCTCAGATGAGTTGGCTGTGCACTAGCCCATTGACTAGTTTTGAGCAAACAATGCAATACCGGTGTCACCTCCTGCGCCACTCAATTTCAACTAAGAGACATGGCAGAAGGATTTATACCAATTGATAAGAACATTGAGAGAACCACACCACAAAACTTAAACATGGCAGAAGGATTTGATACCAATTGATAAGAACATTGAGAAAACCACACCACAAAACTTAGTTACTGTAGTTGGAGAGTCGAAAATCTAACAAATCTCACGTTAGAATCTCATGCTTCCAACGAGGTATTCAAGTCTCATACCCTGTAATTGGAATCCTAACAATATATTACTCAATTGTAAATAGGACCATTTTAAAGATTTACAGAGAAGAATTAGAGACATCTCCTCTTCACTAACATGTTGTGTTATTATATTTAAAACATTTCACAATATTTTAGGAATTTTGAAAAGAGAGGAAAGGGCAACATTTTGATTTTTAATAAATTTATTTTAATTTTTTAAATTATTTGAATCAAGGATAGAAAATAATAGATTGACATAACAATAATGCATTTTTATTAAATCAAAAATAAAAATTTTACTCTCTCTTTCTCTTTAAATCCTCCCTCCTTCCCCTTAAACAACCCCATAAAAAATAATTTAAATAACACAATAGTATCAGTTGATTCCATTTGTTTATCTCTTTAAAAGTTATTCATTGATATTTAATGTTTCTATTCGATAACGGCATTCCTATCCCTCAAACTTATCACACTGACATATAAAGATGCTCAGAGCATGAGCTCACCGTTGCAATAGTTATTCCACCACCCATTTTTCTAGTATATCTCTTTAGAACTGACATATTACTGTCGTTTGGAACTCCAAATTTTAAAAGAAAAGAAGAAGAGAATGATCTAAAATCAAACAATAAGACAATATCTAGGATACACAAGTTTAATCTTTCCCTTGCTAAAATGGACTCAAAAAAGTATATAAGTCCTTCAAAATTGAAATTCAATTGCAAGTGTCTGCAAAGCTCCAGTGTAAAAACAAGGGGTGCAGTTCTGTGTCTTAATAGCTCCAAACCTTCTTACATAATGCAAACAAAACAAAAACCTCGCTTCTATACATGACCACCATAATCAAATAAACAATGTTATGTAAGAACACAAGCTACGAGCATCATCCAATCCAAAATAACAAACAAATAAAATAAAAAACCAAACAAAAAGTAAGGGCATAATATTTAAACATCTTTAAATCTAAAAAAATAAACACACACTCTCATTTAGTCATAGCCTAATTCTAGAAACATCGACTAGGCACGGTATCAGAGAGGAACCGAGATTACCGGTGAAGGGCTTGCGTTTCACGGAAGGGTCAAGCTGATTACACCACCGGAGCCGGCACGACTTGCCGGACCTCCCCGGTACTCCCCGGGAAATCATGCTCCAGTTCCTCGCCCCGAACTGTGCCACCAATCGGCTCAGCACGGTGTCCTCCTCCGGCGACCAAGGTCCCTTCACTCTTCCGGCGACTGAGCCGTCACCAACCACCGACACCTCAGCATCAACGCCCGCAACTTCCAACTCCTCGCCGCCGCCGCCTCCGAGCTCTTCGGCGGCGACTCCATTACGTGCGGTTGGCTCGGCGGAGCGGTCTTCTTCGGTCATGGCGGTTTTTGGTTGTTTCGCTATCTGTTACTGTCAGTTTTATTTTTAGCTCCCTCTCTCTCTCTAACTAACCGCTATTCCGATTGGGGCACACGCAAAATGTTTCGTCCCCGTCTTTGCCCATTTTATAACACACTTTTCGTCAAATGACTGATTTGTCCCCATGCGTCGTCAACTTAAAACGACGCAGTTGAAAGAAACTCAGGCGAAATGCGTGATGAGCTTGTGCCGTTTCGTAAACGTCCAATTTCTTTAGTTGACTTGGAATGTTTGTTGACCTCTGACACGTCAGATTACGGGTTTAAAAATGATCCTTAGGTTAATTATAATTTACCCTACTTGCCACCCTTTCTTAACAATCGCCCTTGGAATTTGAATTTTGAAGGACAAATAATCATATTTTCCAGATTACGAGTTTACCCTTCCGTATACATACTTGAGCTCTCTTTTTTTTTAAAAAAAATATTTTTTTTAAAGTGCTTTTATTATTTAAACAAAATGTTTGTTTCGGTAAAAAAAAAAAAAACATGGAAGTTAATAGAGGGATTTGCTTGTATCATTTGAACAAACAATAAGTGTTCACCTAGTCTATTGAATTGTAATTTGTCTAATCTTTTATATTTATTGGGTGAAAACAAAAATATTTTCTGTTCCACTATTACAAGTCGGAATTTTGAAGAGAAAAATTTACGTTTTGGCAAACATCGAGAATGAGCAGAGTAGTTAATGCCCGTGACGGGACTGATGCGTTTCTATTGTGTGCTTCAGAATGGGTGCGACTATACCAGCGTCACAGAAATGTTTCTTTCAATTTGAAACCCTAGCAGAAAAGAAGTATTTAGAAATGGATATTTAAAATAAATTAAAAAAATAAAAGAGGTGCAGTTAGCAAAAAGAAGGAGTGCAAAAAGGTTGACCCAAAACACCCAAATAATGGACCTTTGGACCTTCTTCTAAGCCCATTTAGAATATTTAGTCGAGCCTTGTTCGGTTGACCCAAAACACCCAAGACATTACAATGATGTTGAGATGGATCAGCCCTATCTATTCCGCAGTTACTTCAAGTTTTGGTATTCGTTAACGAATAAAAAATTGATTAGTATATTAATAATTTTCTTAGTTCTCTAATTAGTATTTTAAGAACAGTGGTTAATTCTCTCTCTCTCTCTCTCTTGTTGGTTTAAGTGAAAAAACAAAACTTTAAACAAATGACTTGTGTCGTTGTTATACAATTCTATTTGTACGTGTACTTTCTCTTAAGAAAATAGTATCTTTTTAAGCATAGTTTAATTTTCTAGTAGTCGTTTAGAAAAGTTTGATAGGATTATATAAGATAATAAAAACAATTGAGTAGGGGATGTTAGTTCTGTTTTACTTCCTTTTCAGATTTTTCATGAATGGACCCGGTTCTTCATGGTTCGTAAGAGTAATGATTGATTGATTGGTGTATGTTTGGTATACCTCACTTCGTACCAGTTAAGTGGGTGAGCAGAATATAATTAGTGTAGGAACATAAAAAAAACTGACCTAATTGCAATTAATTATATGATAAAAATTAACATGATATAAACGACACATATGACCAGTTGTTCATTTAACAACTAAATTGTAATTGAAAGAAAACAATGAATAAATAAACAAATAAGTTGTCAATATTGATCGGGGAATAAATATTTTTATTTAATAAGTATAATATTCATTTCGTTTTTCAAATATGCAGATCATATTAGTTTGGGTCCATGCATATATATACTTCGATTATTAATACTAAATTATTGAATTTTGTTAATATTTATTTCTTTAAGGGAACTGAATAAGGGTAGGTGTGAGTGTGGGAAAAGTGGAAGGGTTAATGGGTGGGGGGAGCAGGAGAAATTTGCTTAGGAGAGGATCTCGATCCAATAATATAAGTCTTGTCATTAGTTTTATTTTATTATTATTATTAGAACAAGGTGGAAACTGAAAAATAGACGTAGGACGAACAAAAGTAAACTTATCTTGGGACTTTATAAACACGCATCTCAATCAAATCCTCCCAACCTTAGATCCCCAATTTATGGTTGCAAACTAAGGTTCACACAAAGTGCAATACAAAAGAATGAGAAGAAATTGACGAAAGGAGTTTAAATTGTAGACAGGACAAGGGCTTCACGGGGCCACTATCCGTAGCAAGCACAACCAATCCCTTCTACGCTTAAAAGCATTGTACGTATTTATTATTAAAATTATTATTATTGAAGAAATATATACTCTCTTTTCTTTTGGCAGGTTGTGTCTTCTTCACAAAGCTTGTGTAGTCCAAGAGGGAGACAATTAAACTACATATTCACACTTGTAGACAATTTGTACACTCTTTTGTCTAAAAATTCTACTTCACCTAGGACCCCATCTTCGTGTACAATTTCAATTCCATGTCATTTCATTAGAAAATTTGAAGTCCATGCACCCCTATTTATAAGAAAAATGATGACAAAAAAACCACGCATATATTCTTGCCACTAGATTACAACGATTTTGATGGTACAGTTATTCCAAAAAAAAATTACCAACCAAAGTTATTTATTACTTGGTATTTTTCTTGGACCGTTAATTTATGTTGATCAATTTATTATTTACTTAATTACGGCTTTGTTGAAAACAATTAAAGAAAAATTTATTACCATGCATAATAGTCATATTCAATAGGGTAGGTGGAAATTCTCAAGGAAACCATGAGTAACACAGTAAAAAGGTATGCTCAATTTAATTGCATTTTAAATTTGGCTAAAGAATGACACGTGGAAAGCTTATACATTAATAAAAAGAGTAATTTTACATTTTTTGTGTTGGTAAAGCCATAAGTTTCATTCGTATAATTGTGAAAAATATTGTTTAATCAAATTAAAACTAGCTAGATATGTTCACATCAGCAGTACATGTGCAGAGAAATGTGTGTCCCTAACTGACTTTCCCTACGTTAGTAGATTAGAGTAAAATGAAACTTTTTGGTGTTTGGGGTGATTGATAAAGAGAGTTAACATCTCATTCTTTAACAAGAAGGATGGGGGTTGGAACCATGTGATAAAAGGGATCATGAGGAAAAGTACTGGCTTAAATTTAGGACATTGGGAGTCATGTGCTAAGAATAAGGACGTAAAACCAAAAGAAGACTCTTTTATTTGAAAGAAAGATATTGCAATGCTAGCAAGCCTCTATTTTTAAATTCTTTGGCTCTCACCACGTGTATGATTCCATTACCTATGGAACACTAAGTGTGTGTCTCAAAGCAATATACAGAATTGCCTAAACAACTTTCACTGCCTTGGATTCTAATTAAAGTCCATAAAAGGATGTGGTTTTTGAGGTACAACTGACTCAAGGTCAATGGTTTTAAATTGCCATATGCTACTTCAAATGTGGCTACAATATTGTAGTTTTATGTAGGGCTCTACTAAATAAACCACGATTTTAGTGGTGTACTCCTACAAATATTTCCACATTTTACAATTGCTAAATTTAATTAACTATAAGGGTATCATATAGGTGTTGTAATTATGTGTGACCACAAAGCCTAATCCACTCATATGGTAATGGAGAACTGTTTGGTTCAGCAAAAGATCATGTCAATATATGACAACTCATGTGTGGTCAGTAAACTTTGCCCAGTTACCTTTTGTGCATAAAATGATCATGCTCAACGGCGAAAAAAGATACTTTATTGAAAGTTGAAAACGATTTGTTGAATATAGGTAATGATCAGAATTAAAAAAATGTCCAAATGGGGTAGAAATGATTTTTAGCCAAGCTAGGATGCATAGAATTATTGCCTTCTCATCAATATATCAATCGGCACTGTTTTATTCATACCCATCAATTGCAAACTAGCTTGCTACCACTTTGTAATGGAACATAATTAGGATTTATTTATTTATTTACCAACAGTGGCATTCTCATCTCGAAGGGGGAGAGAATATGCGCATCTCAGGTTGTTGGGAGAGAGGTTACTTTTTTCCTTCCATTCATTTCTGAACCCATAAAATGTACTTGATTAAAATCGAGAAAGTTACTTACAGAGGATGAAATGTTCCTACAGAGAATACTCATTGGAAACCCAAAAACAGACAGACAAAGAAAAAGAAAAATATATGCATAGATCACTATTTAAAGGCATATAGTAGAAACATGGAATGGTCATTAGTTCATAAATCTTGATGCATCAATGGCAAAAGGGTGTCTCGATATTCACCTAGTTAAAGTTAGCATTTAACTAGAATGTTGTAATTTTTGTAGTATATTTGGTACCCAGCAGTAGGGGCTTCCTCACTCTAGGGTCAGAAATATATGTATGTACTGTAGATACACTGACATATACTGACATTCATGGAAAACTACTTTGCTAAAATATATAGCAGCAGCTATATATAGGGTGAAAAGGCAGAAGACCTTATAATAAGGTAAAACGCGGTTCAAGAATAATTTACCTTGGTGGGATCCAGCCCCCGCTGGACTGAAGAAGTGGATCTATTCAACCATGCTCAGCAAGCATGAGTAAGGTAATCATTAAGCCTAGTTTTGCTAAAAATAAGAATCTAACACAGGATTCTAAAAAAAATGTTAACTTGCATCTGAATATTTTATAAATAGAAAAAAGGGAAGGGGGGGGGGGGGGGGCGAACAAGGGGAAAAAAAATAAAATTGGGTAGGTAGGTGCAAGCGAGCAACAACATAGTAAAAAATATGAACTTACATGAATTATGCCACTCTTTTTCATATTGTAGAATGTAGTTTCTATGTGAAGAAGTGGATAGTGAAGTATCTCCGATGTTTTGTGAAGCAGTAATTAGAGGCTGTCCACCAGAAGCATCAGAGTAGAAGAAGCCACCAAAGGAGGAATCCAAAGGGATAGCATGATCCCAAATATTGTGGGAAGGGAAAGAAAAGGACAAAGAGATTTTTAAGACTAAGATTTGGGATCAATGCGATCCCTTTGGATGCCTCCTCCAGTTGCAGTGGATGAAAAACCATACTTCACCTTCTGAATTCTTCAAGACTCATAGTGATGTCATGTGTGTACCCCCTCCCCTCTCCTTCTCTTTCTGCAGGCTTTTGTGTCTGAAGGAAAGTGGATAGATATGGCTCTGAGTTTGAGGGTTTGAAGTGAAGGAGAGGCTTTCAAAGTAAAAGAGAGCTAGTGCTTATATTAACAACAAAAACTCTCTTTCCATCATCCTTTCTTTTATTTCAAATTTTTCTTTAAATTTATTTGTATTTATTATGATTTGTTGAA